GTTGGACACAAAGATATTTGGATTGAAATCTTGCAACTCTTAATCCGATTGTAAGTTTTTCAATTCTATTTTATTATTGTTGATTAGTTTTATGTTCTTAATTTCGGTTAACATAAAATTGAATCTAAGCATGAGGTAATCCATTCACCTAGGGTTAGGGATTTTGATTCTTGTTTTGAATTATGAGGAATGTGTTTTGTTCAATCTATACGAGTTGTGTGAATTATATGGTTAGTTGATTGATCACCATTCTAACCTAGTTAATCGACGTTTAGAACCGAGAGGGGAGACGTCGGTCGATTTAGGCTCGTATAGAGTAGACATGTTCGTAAAAGTATTGTCTATGTGTTGCTTGTTTGAATGAGTTTATCGTTTATGTTTGTGCTCTTGTTACGAAGAGTTATTGAGCATAACCCTCTAGACGTGTAGGCTTGTTAAATCTCGTAACCGAACAAATAAGCGTTCAACATAGTTTAAGACTTGATGAGATTTCCCGACCCATAGAACTTCTTCTTTTTCTCTAGAAATTTAATTGTTATTTCTTTAAATTGTTTTTCTAGTTCTAGCTTGTTTTAGTTGATTCCCCAAATCAATCGTAATTATAGTGTTTAGGACTTATTTTCTTTTCGTGTGTGATCAAGACCAACGCTAATTTTCGAACCGTCTTCCTCGAGATCGACCCGGGGAACGAATATTTTGATTCGATACTCGGTAAAAAAATAAAATAATTTGCTACAACATTTAGCTCAGTTGTTTTTGTTAGCAGTCTTGAGTAGATGTTGATAGTTGTAGTCCTTGTATGCTATATGCTCCTTTGATTACACAATTGCAGATTTTTTTAGCACTTATGTAGAAATATAAATATACCAGCTTTACTTGTGACCCTGCTTGCTTATGAAAGTATAGACCTGCTAAAAATTTTAAAATTTCAATCAGTATCTTATAAAATCCTAACAATCTCAAAAGTACACACATAGCAACATTCAGAGCATGGAAAAAATGGTGATATTCAATGCGGGTCAAAATTTTAATATTTCAATCAATGTCTTATAAAATCCTAACAATCTCAAAAGTCCACACATTGCAACATTCAGAGCATGGAAAAAATGGTGATATTCAATGCAGGTCAACCCACTGGTTGGATGAGAGTCAATGCAGCATTTGGCCAATCAAAAGAGTTTAGTATAAAGCAATAATAGAAAGGTCTACTTAGTTGACTGTCTCATGTATGTGGTGGAATAACAAGAAAGGTGGAAATTACAAAATAAGTGATATAGTCCTAGATCGGCTGAAACCAGGACTAACACCTCAAAATTGAGCATCACCGGTTCAAGGCTACCAAATATACTTCTTGTCTCTGAATATTCTAGAAATTACTTACCATATTTTCCATACCCGATGACTGACTTGAGCATCTGAGTCGACCCGATACTTGTTTTGCAGATTATCAGTTTCACTCAGACTTGTGACAAAAATGCATAGCTTTATTTGTTTAATCCCTTTGTTTGTTATAGAGTCATTTCTTCAAACCCATACCTATACGTTTATAAACACCCAAACAACACACACCCACTTGATAAAAAAGTGATCTTTCTCTTTCAAAAAAAAAAAAAAAAAATCTCAACTTGAACTGATGATTTTTTAGTTTGGTGGATTTCGGTGTTATGAAATAGGGAGTTTTTCACCTATTATGTTCCTGCAAGATGGGCTAATTATTACATTTCCATGTTCTTGGATAGTTTTCTTTTTGGGACATAGGCCGGTACAGCACAATATATGTGTCTCATGATATATGTATGTCTTAGCTGCACAAATTATTAAACAACATTTTTTGTGGAATTATAGTTTGGTAATTAGCGACAAGCAGCAGAATACTACAATGTGGGTTTATAAAAGTATGCATTTGATTGATATGTTATTATCTAATGTCAACATTGTTAGTTGGCCAAAAGAAAAAGGAAAAAACAAATAATAGAAAATTAGGGATACCAATTTCGTGAAATTACATAATCCTGAAATTCTTCGTTTTCGTCTTGGTTCAGGACTTAATAATATGAAGCTTTGGAAATAGTTGTGTGTTATTAGGAGCATGAAAGCAAGAAGAGCAAAGCGTTCTGAGGTAGCTAATGATGTCTTATATTGGAGATTTGCTAAGTGTTTGATGAATTGTCTGAGCTAATGCTGCAGTTGTTAAATTTTTGTTTTCGTCCTTAGCTTTTTTATTTTTTTTATTCCTTTCCTTTTTTGGTCTCGGCCATTTTGGCCTTCCATTGTGATTGAAAAATGGCTTAGTATAAAGGCAAAGGTTTATGATTTTAGCGAAGATGAAGTAGATATAGAGAGAAAAGACGATAGTATGGATTGGTTTAGTTTGGGTTCCCTTTCACCTGATGATCTCCAGCTTGTTTGCTGATCACATTTTTTTTCTCTTTTTCATTATTGCTCTTGTTTTTGTGTAGTCTCCTCAATTCAGAATGAAGTTGTGCGAGACGATCCTGTTGACAATATACCGTTAAATCAGTCATTTTGCTCAAGTAAGGCTCCCAGGTAGCAAGTATATTAAAAGTTGAAGAACCAAGTTAAGGGCACAAAAGAGATTTTCAGTGCTGATGTGATGGATCCAATATCTGTAAATTCTCTATATGACATTGTGCCTTTAAGTTGGTAAATATTTTGAAGAATGACTCTCGGCTGCCATTTCTTAAGAAATTAGAGCTAAGGCTTATATTATGATTTTTGGTTGCAATCTTTTGAGCATTGCTTGCTGATGCAAAATAATTATGGTTATTATTATTATTATTATTATTATTATTATTATTATTATTATTATTATTATTATTATTATTCTTATTAGTTAGGTTGGAGAATAAGCTATATTTTAGTTGAAGAGTCTTATATAAAGGGTTCTTGTGCTTTGTTATTAGGAGAGTTGATTATTGAATGAAAATAAGATTGTAAGTTTTATCGAGAGAGTATCTCGTTTATGTTTCCCACTCGTACGCTTCCCTACATCAGTTGGTATCAGCAGTCAGTACGATTCGCGATGTCGTCGGGACGACAAGATGTCACAAACAAACGATGTGATGCAACCTTCAACGATCGGTTTCAACAGATCGACTATCGATTTGAACAGTTGGATGTGCGTTTCACGGATTGGTTTGCAGATTTTTCGACGGGGATCGGAGATTTGTATTTGACGCTTAACAACGAGGTCTGGGATTTGCAGATGAACCATGCTGCCGGCGACCAGGGTGTGCGCGGGGGAGTTCACGGAGGAAGTGGAGATCGTGGTCCAGGCGGGGCGCCCCGTCGGCCATCTCCACAACCACCGCCCGACGATGCAGACGGCGAGGAGACCATATCGGAGGTGGATCCCTTCGGAGAGTGGCCGCCTTCTCCTGTCGAGACTGAGCTCGTTGCTGCGCACGACAACCAAGATGTACAACAACAGAGTGGAACTTTTAAGGAAGATGACGGGCCATTGTACGACGGTCCGCCTATTTTCGATGAGGAGCCTCCGATGACGGAGACATATCTTTGCGGCAATATGGGTCCCGCGTGGGACGTCGCAGAAGTTGAGCCTTTAACGGGGATGCCGTCGTTCAAACCTGATTTTTGGAGTATCTTGGCCAACGATGGTTTTTTGGAACCGAAGCCGAGGCTCAATAATTGGTGGGTCATTTTCCGATTGTCTATTGCGAAATCTCTCGACAACGGGATGCTTGGTCGTAGTTATGAGTTTGAGCGCAACGAACGATATGGTATGTTTTGTGTTAATTCAGTTGTGTGGGTTATGCATATGGAGGCGCATACATGTATCTTTCCAGCATATCATTACTTGCCCAAGATTATGTTTACCTTCGGGGTTATTGGACGACCTTCAACATTCGTGTTCGATCGTGGAAAACGCCCGGGCTATTGCTGTCATGGGGACGTCTCCAACGAGAACGTGTCGGATTCGAGGGCGAATCCTGCTCAACCGGGAGAGAATGATGCAAAATAATTATGGTTATTATTATTATTATTATTATTATTATTATTATTATTATTATTATTATTAGTTAGTTTGGAGAATAAGCTAGATTTTAGTTGAAGAGTCTTATTTAAAGGGTTCTTGTGCTTTGTTATTAGGAGAGTTGATTATTGAATAAAAATAAGATTGTGAGTTTTATCGAGAGAGTATCTCGTTTATCTTTCCCACTCGTACGCTTCCCTACATCACTTGCTGAATTTTTTTTTCTCAATTATTTTTGTTACAATAATAAGTGCATGACTAACTTTACACATACAATTACTCAAATTGTATGCTTAATTATGAATTAAATTGAACCCAACTATGCGGATTACTAAAGTGCTCAAATTTTACGCATAATTACATATTAAATCGAGTATTTGATAATGTTGGGGGACTCTTATATTTATGATGGATTCATACAAAGTAATTTCAATCTATTTTTAGAAATGCTTACAAATGTATGTGTACTCTTTGAGTAGTGCAAATATATGTGTAAGGTTGGACACATTTTAAGCAGTAATTGTTTTTGTGCCGACAAAAAAATAATCACTATTTCATAATTATAGACTGAACTTGCACAGCCGAGGGACAACTAGTATATAATATATTAAATTAATCATCTCTTGATTAACTTCGATTTAACATCCATATTGTATGTATAAAAAAATAAATTATATTTATCTTTATAACAATAATATTTTTTCTAATATTAATTAAAAAAATAAATTTATTTATCATTTAATATATTTATATTTCAAGTAGTTATATGATATAAGTTATAAAAATTACTATAATATAATACATGTAAGTCACACAAGGAACAAATGTCATTTTAAAATATATAATAATATATATTTTTTTATAAACAAGTAAATAAAATTTAAAATAAATTTTATTATTAATTTTAAAATTTAAGAATAATTTTTTAACAACGAGTACATTACACGTTGTTGTACTAGTGTTTATATAATTGTGGGCGTTCGTGGCAAAGTTTGGTCCTCGTAAAGGCCGTGTTCCTCTCCCCTCCCTTTATCTCGACGCTCCCTCATCACAGTTCATATGTACGGCACACACCAACTGCGTACACTCTCCGCCTTCGTCACCTTCATGCTCAAGAAAAAGAAACGATGGCTCGAATGATCTCGAAACCCCACAACAATTTCTTCAATTGCTCATTTGGCGCGAGCACTTCAACATTTAGGACTTATGTCAGGCACCATCATTTTAAGAGCTTTCTCTCTGAGCGACGATTCAAGTACAGAGTTTGTTGCTGTGTAAAGGATACGGAAAGAGAGGACGCTGCCCAATCAAAGAGAATTTTGAGTGGGCTCGAAGTGAATGGTCAGTTGAAGGAAGAGGAGAGTGTGGGAGGAGAAGTGGGCCTCTTTCGGGATTGGCCGCCATGGAAAAATCTTCCCCAGAGATATAAGCTCATCGGGACTACTTCCTTGGCCTTTGTCATTTGCAACATGGACAAGGTCAAATATCTCTCTTGTTTTTGGTGTTTATGACGGAGGAGGAAAATGTATTCACATGCTTGTAAACGCGTTAAATATATTTATGCTCACCTGATGTGTTTGAGTGAAATGAAAGGTTATATGCAGATATTATAGCATGCATGTGATGTGGCTAATTGTTGACAGTGTAATTCTGTGTATTATTCTAAAGTGCTTGAGCTATTTATTCACCACCAACTTTCCGTATGGAAGGGGAATTAGGTTTCTTCTTCCCGAAATGTAATGTCTGAGTTGAAACAGTGTATTGGAATAACTGGAACTATTTAAATCTGCTACCTATATTTATGAGCATCCATAATACCATTGAGTAGAATATTCGGTTTAGTTGACTGTCGACTGATTTTACATTTTTCCTGCACTAAATAGGTGAATTTGAGTATCGCTATAATTCCAATGTCACATCAATTCGGATGGAATGCTTCTGTGGCTGGATTGGTGCAATCTTCTTTCTTCTGGGGTTATGCTCTTAGTCAGTTGCCTGGTGGATGGCTTGCAAAACTATTTGGCGGGAGGTTAGTGTCTTAGGCTGGACTTACGTTAATGACACTATCAAGACAAATATATTTTTAGGCTGGTGAATCAGAAAGCTTGTCCATTTGACTATGGAAGAGGTCAGAAAGCAAAATGAGCTTTTTGCCAGTTGTTTAAGAATTCTCTCTTCTTTCTCTCTCTTCTTTGATCTACTCTGTAACGTTATGTGTTTTATCCATTTGGATATGCGTTGTAGTTTTAGCTCTATTTCCTCAATGTCTTTGCTTCCAATTAATAGTTACCTGTCAACAAAGAGCTTAATGTAACATCATAGCATCTGATCCTTCCAATATGTGCCTTATTGATTACAACTGAAAATGTTTGTCTGATCTATGTTTCTTGATGGCTGTAATTTTCATCTTCCTAGTATTTTATTAAAGTGAAGACAAGTGAAATAGGGTCTTATCATGCTAAATTTATTCTAACTCAAGCTTATTTTACCCAGTAAAGTTCTTGAAGTGGGTGTCCTTGCCTGGTCGCTGGCCACAGCATTGGTTCCTATAGTTGCTGGTTTTTTGCCAGGACTTATATTCTCAAGGATTTTGGTAATTCTTTAGCCTCCAATTACTTCTTCATTGATTTGTGAGCTGAAAAATTCTTGCTCTGGCAAAAGCTTGAACTATTACAACTGAATGTCATAGAAAATTGTAGTTGCACTATGTATTCTCTGTTTTGTCTTTGTCGTGACTACCTTATTTAAATTTCAGGTTGGAATTGGTGAAGGCGTTTCACCATCTGCTGCCACTGATATGATTGCCTTGTATGTAGTAACATCGATCCTGTTAAACTAAAACATACACAGAGATGAGATGGAAAATTGTATCACAGAGAGAGAGAGAGAGAGAGTAAATGGGTTCTTGAAAAAAAGGAAATATCTTTTAAATGACAGTTTCTACAATTATATTTCGTTAGTATTATTAGTTATCGCTTTTGGCTGCACCTAAATTATCTTGGGATAACAGATCTTTTTGGGCGACTAGTTATGTACAAAGGTAAAGGGTAAATTGAGGGACTAAAATCAGATGCAAGTAAAATATGCTTTGCTCGAATAGAATCCCTTCCTTTTCTTAAGTACCTAAGGTAAAATGTATTTGACTGCATCCATTGCAATTACCACGGATCTTTGAATGTATAATTGAATATCTCACAGCCTTTCTGAGTTGCTATATATTATGGATCATATTTTCCCTATATATGGTTGTGTGCTGTTTTATTGTGTCCATCTATAAGAAAAATGATGGGTTCCAAGTGTACGGGAACTCAATTTTACATAAATGAAATATAGTTGGTGGAGTATAAAAGGGTTGATACAAATTCATGTAGTTTATGTATTTACTTACTTTTAGATATTGGAGACTTGTTTGGTTTTGGAACTTTTGGTTGGATATTCTGAGAGAGCGATATTACGGAGCTCACCATAAAAAGAAAACTTCATTATATTTTCGGTTTTCCATCATTCTTATTAATAGTTATGATGAAATGTGGAAGGGAACAAGTGTGGTAGTTCGGATTCAGAATGTTTGTAACTTTGGTTCGCTTTCTTATTCGATCTTTCTTTTGTCACCGCAATAGTCAGTAATGTAGCAGCTTTTCAACGAAGCCTATTTTTAGTTTATGTTTTCCCTTATGTAGTTTGTAACCTTTTTATGGATTCTTTTTTCAGGTTAATACCAATAGAAGAGCGCTCTAGAGCAGTAGCTTTTGTTTTCGGTGGTTTAAGTGTTGGTAGCGTTCTGGGGTAATAATTACCGTTATTTAATCATGCATAACATTTGTTAATTTTTGCAAAATGGAAAGAGAACGTACCTTTTTTTGGGTTGGAATGACTGTAGGCTCTGACCATGAAACAAAATCTACTACATTACATACTAAAATGTTGCTACTCTCTCTGTCCCACAAAGATAAAGCTTGTTACTACATCAGGTATGTACTTAATTATCTTGGGATCACTCTAGTACATTTATGTTGAATGGCTATAATGATGGCTGAGTGGACAATAGCATGGGTGGATAATGCAATCTGTACTGTATTAAACCAACACTTCTTAATCTGTTTGAAATTATTATTGATCTATCTTTCTGGGCCAGAGAGAGTATTTTCTGTCATGTCCAGTGTTGGAGCAAGATGAAGCCAGTAGTAATTTGTTTGTCATGTGTTATGCTTTGGATTTCTAACCTCTGAAAGATTTGGATCGTGGAACTGCAGGCTTCTTTTGGCTCCTCCACTGATTCAAAATTATGGCTGGGGATCTGTATTTTACATCTTTGGCTCACTGGGTATAGCCTGGTAAGTTCTATGAATAAAGTTAAACCTCATTGTGCAACATTATTCCTTGAATTACATTAACAGCCATGAAAATGGAGAAGAAAATTCGTTAGTGTTACCTTTCTCTCTGAATTGATAATTTACTTTTCTTTTTTCTTTAATAAGACATTAATTATATAAATGATTCATATTCATTGTTTTGGAAGCTGCTCAGATGCTATAGTTTTTTGTTTCAAGTTTCATAAGTTATGAAAGTTGAACTATTTGATGTTCTCAATCGTTTATGTTAAACTCTTGCAGGTTTTCAGTATTTCAGTTTGTTAAAGAAGATCGGCGTCCATTTAGAGAGGCTTATCTATCATGTATGCTAATTATCTGTATATCTTTTTTGCATTCTCGTTTCTCAGTTTCTGTTGTACCATTTCTTCATATCTTTAAAGGTAAAAATCACCTTTGGTACCCAAAGTATGGCTTAATTTCAAGGATGATACCCGCCCTTTCCAGACTTATGGATTTAGTATCCAAACTTTGCAAAAACCATCGAAATTGATACTCATTTCTTAAAAATCTGTCAAACTTAACAGACTTAATAGAAAAATATTAAAAAATATTTTCAATGCTGAATAAATAATACAAACACAAAGTAAATAAACAAAAAAAGGAAAGATGGAAGCTCACGCACACAAACACACTCAAGTACAACAGCCTCCTACATGTGCATCTCCTCTCTCCTAATGGCGAGCAAAGTCATTGGCATCCAAATCCGAGCTCATTTTCATCATCACCACGTATTTTCGATCAAAAGCCTTCACCTAATTTTGCATTTTGTTTCTGGTGTGCCGGACCAAGACCTTGGACCTTCAACATTTTTAAATGCCTTCCGGGGCCTTGGCAAGTTTCATTCTACTCAATTGAATGCAGCTTCACATTATTCTCTTCAGCACGCATCTTCGAACCATCATTTGTCCAATTTTATGTTCGTTTCAATGTAACTTGTTTAAAGCCCGTTTACGGACCCATTTTTTACCCCTTCTTCCGACATACAGCCACCGGTGAGTGCCTCTCTAGCACCAGTTGTTCGCCTGCCACTATGTTGCTCCATCTCGATCAATGTTGGTGTTCCATGGGGCTGCTCATAAATGCGTGTGCAGTTGCGTCTCAGTGTTCCTTGTGTGTGTTCTCCCTCCTTTTTTTTCTGCTTCTTTCTCTCCTTTTTCTTATTATCTATTTTTTATTGTTATTATTTATTAATCATTATAGACAACGTATGTGTCCTCATTCCATTTGACGGGTTCTTAACCGCTCAGACGGATTTTTAACGGCATGTATCAGTATTGATGATTTTTGCTAAGTTTGGGTCCTAAATTTGTCAGTTGTATAAGGTTGGGTACCAACCCTGAAATTAAGCCTACTTTGGGTAAACCCTATCTTTAAATTATTAGTAGATATGGTAAGTATTTTATTTAAATGAATATTAGTCTGTTGTGTAAGAGACTAAAGAATAATTGTTCGATGGCTTTTAGGTTGAAAAGGAGATTGTATTCCCGTGGAGAACTTTGTGTTTTTGGAGAACCTCATGTTCTTAACTTTATTTTCTGTCTCTATCAACTATTATCAATTTGTAATATTTGATGGAATTGTTTCAATATTCTTATAGCTTTAAGAAAACTGATCCTGATTAGTGATGTCAAAATTGTCTAAACCAGGTTTAACCTCAAGCTTAACCTCATTAAATAAACCAGGTCAAGCTTAACCTCCGATATGTGGGCTGTAAGTCACAACTCCAGCACTTGACATGTTTGTTGAGTCCTTCACTTAAATATGCCACATGGCCAGCTTTATTGTTCAAGACAAGCATATAGGAGATCACAAAATGGGTAGCCCAGAGACCTATGTGCCCAATAGACATTTTATTTTCCCTTCAGTATATTAATTTTTTTTTTCTCTTTTAAAGTGAATGAAATCAGACAAAGCGGCAACTGATCTATAACATTTTCGAAGTATTTATATTATTGACCTTTCCTTTGTTATTGCTATAGACTCATATGCGAATGTAAGACGAGGGTTGGAGCCAAAATAGTGGGATGACATTACAGGACTACTTTGATTTTGCATGGCAATTGGGTTCTGCAATTACTATACTGCTTTTGTGTATAACTCAGACATTAATGTAGGAGATCTTATTGGGACACTTCTGCTGGAATAGAATTGATTTTGTTCGTCTTAAATTTATCATTTTTTTTTTTTATTTTAAATGTATGTGTATGTTTTCTTAGTCCATATTTAATAATTTTGTTACAAAACCTGGCTATCACATTTCGCTCATATGAATGATGTAATTTTTCTTGTCCAGGGCCCCAATCTGGCCCTATGAACAAATCATGGAAATCCTCCTTGAAAGATTTGGGTGGCTCGCTGAATGTAGGTGAATGTGTTCTATTCTGTAGTATGGCATGTGGTATTATTTGAATCATATCAGATAATGATTTTTGCGTGGCATAGTAACTTTATAACAGTAACAACCATGACAATAGTTTCAGCTCTTGAAGCTATAAATACAGACTTATTCGTCCAGTAAAATTTACCGCAAGTTTCCAATGTATATCAGTTACCATGATATGATTTTCTCCATGTTGTTGACAGGCTTACCTTCCATAGAAATTTTCAAATCTATTGGTTAATTTTAGAAGCTATTGGTTTTTCGTATGACTTACAGGATATACCTTGGAAGGAATTTTTCAAATCTAAAGCTGTGTGGGCAATGATATATACTCACTTTTGTGGAAGTTGGGGTCACTATACCTGCTTATCCTGGCTTCCTACATATTTCAGGTGCACTTTTTTACTTGTTAATATTGAAAACCTTTGTTTCCTGCTGGACAGAGCTATATGGTATTCCACTAGTAATATGTTGTTTAACTACTGGGAAGAGTTTTGTATAACATGGATTATGTTAGATCATGTCTCATATTTTTAATGTCACTATTGATATGTGGACTACAACCAAATGGAAATAAAAGCTGTAAAAAATGTGAAGGTGTATTAAACTAATTGGGAAAAGCGATGCTGTTACCCGTGAACTTGCATCTGCAAAGTGGGAGATATAATCATATTAAGACTTTGAACTATCAATATCATTAACTTTACCCGTAAGAATGTCAACGGCGCTTAAGGTTTTCTGTGCTAAATTATTTCATGGGAAAACTATAGAAGTGATGTTTCTGTACTATTCCATTGATTACATGGAAGTTTTGATTAATATACATTTTAGAATAATGAAGTTTGATATCCTATTGTATTGATATAATGTTTCAACTTACTTTCATAAATTTGACATTCTCAGAGTGAAATATGATTTTATCTATAGTAGATATAGTCCTCTACAGTTTTGTTTTACATTGATTATATATGTAAATTGTAGGCTTCTAGATGGATAGGAAAACGTAAATGAATGATATTTGCCTATTACTAGGGTAACCAAATGCTTTTTGTTGTTTAAAATGGATGCTCCTCCAAGGTTTATTTGTTAATTGTCATGTATTCATCTCCTTTTTATCTTTATATATGCATATATATATATACACACACACATACATATAACAATGAAGTTATTCATCAAGGAATTTTTTCTCCCTTGGTCCAAGTTTCTATATAATGAGATTTAAAATTGAGAACATCCTTGCAGTGAGGAGCTGGACCTTGACCTGACTGAAGCTGCATGGGTACGTTTATGAATATTTTCTGCTACCATCTTATTGTAGAATTTGATATTTTTCCAATGCATACATCAATGACCTTTCAGGTGACTATTTTCATTTAGATTGTCATGGGAAGTAATTTTATGATACCGTTGTGAAATTTCATAACTAATGGTGAAATTTGTTGCTTGCAAAATGATGGTATTAACCATTGCTCTATGACTCTAAAATGTGTCATGTTTTGGAAAATTGTCTTATCCGTGCGATACTCTGGGCTGATCATGTATTAATATTTGTAATTAAATTATTGCTATAGGATATATTAAAATTAAGTATTCGATTACTAAGTATGGCTATTGTAATGGCATATCTGGAAGAGACATTATTCTTCCACTAATTGTCTGCTTTGATATTCTTCACCTATAAAGTTAACAAATTGAAATATTGTGTGAATCTAGTCTACTGATGTAATCATAACTGACTGTTTATTGGACCATGTAAAAGACTGATAATGAGTGGCATAGTTAAAAGTGAGATACAACAAAGATTTGCTTACCAACTAGCATGGAATTTTCTTTGTTAACATTAGAAAGGTATTTATTAATCTTGTAAATATCAAATTTCCCAAGAAATTTTTGCGGCCAAAAAGTTTAAGTTACTCTTTCTCATCTTTCTTGAATAAAACACATCTAGATCGAACATTTAGCAATTTGGAAAACTTCACCACCAGATTTACCTGGATATAATTACGTAGCTGAGTTTTTTCTGTATTCTATTTTATCACACACCATTGATATGTCCAGCATGAGTAATAGCAATTATGAACAATGCTGGCATATATTTCAGAACTTGCCGAATTAGAACATGATATCCTGCGCTGTATGTACTTTTGATATTTGTTCTGTTGGAAATGTAACGTAATAAACATATTCTATATTGCAGGTCTCAGTTCTTCCTCCATTAGCTTCAATCTTTGTCACTGCCTTCGCATCCCAATTTGCTGACAGCATGATTGCAAAGGGAGTTGAAACCACAGTGGTACATATATATACTCAACTTTGAACATATTATCTGTCCTTTAGAAAAACAAAAATTGGTAGTCTTGTGATATTATATTATATCAGGTACGGAAAATCTGCCAAACAATTGCATTCCTATCTCCCGCGACTTGCATGATTCTTTCCTCTGTTGACTTAGGACTGAGTCCTTGGGAAGTTGTTTCAATTCTTACAGGTGGCTTAGCCCTATCTAGTTTTGCTTTATCAGGTACCAACTCATAGAGTTCCGTTATATGCTTTGAATTTGTTGAGCTGAAATATGTAATCTCCTCTAAAAACTTCTGTCTTGTTATTTCTAAACTCCAGGCCTATACTGCACCCATCAAGACATGTCACCTGAATATGCAAGTGTTCTTTTGGTACGTAAATTCATTCACCTAAACAAACACCCCTTTAGCACTGAGGTTATTTGTAATAACCTAATGAGGGATATCCATAAATTCGAAAACAGACTAGAATATTGTTATTGTCGTGAATTTGAATTGTACATGCATATTCAGTTATCAAGTAAAAAATGTAAGCTAAAAACACTTGTGCAGGGCATTACGAACACTGTTGGAGCAGTCCCGGGAATCATCGGTGTTGCTCTCACTGGTTATCTTCTTGATTCAACTCACTCATGGGGGGTAAACTAATTTCCTTACCTTTAATTTTTTAAAATCATGTGCTTTAATTTTAATATCTTCTTATCAATGCTATGCTATGCATTTTGTTTAATTTTCTTATCTATTTTTTTTCTCTATATAGCTGTCACTGTTTGCGCCATCAATCTTCTTCTACATTACTGGTACAATTGTATGGTTGACTCTAGCTAGCAGTAAACCACAAACTTTCAAAAAGAGTGATTGAGTTTATTATTCAGCCTCAATCAACAGTGTTCAGAAACACCATTCTTCTCAGAGCATCAATTTTGTGCAGTAGGACGACCTAAACTGCGCTGTTTAACCTGTATGCAAAGATCATTGGCTTTTTGGTATATATTAAACAAATGTCACTCGAGATTGTGATTGTAAATATATGTGCAGTTTTTTTTGTCACTGCCCATGTAAGGCTAATAGACCTAGAGTTGTGTAATGTAGTTTTTTTTCGGGTAAGAACATTTGGAATCTGTTTGTAAAAGTTGGCTGCAGACAATATCTTTCCGCAATAAATATTATAACACGATTGTTGTGGGAGAGTATGTTGAGTACGCAAAATGTGTATAAACACAGAAATTAAAAGCGGAAGCGACATATAAACAAATTCGTATTCTTTTCCCTGGCGCAGCTGGGCCATCCTGGACTTGAACCAGAGACCTCGCCCGTGAAGTAAATCATCGCACCTACGGTCCAACTAATTGGAAGAGAATCAATAGATTCCTTTTCGGGAGCGATTCATCCTTCCCGAACGCAGCATACAACTCTCCGTTGTACTGCGCTCTCCAAGTGTGCTTGTTCCCCCTTTTTCCTTACCCTGGTAAGTCTTTGTGAAATAACTCCGATGAGAAGAAAAAGAAGTCGTTAAGAGACCAAGCGTTCATTATCTGTTTGAGCTTTTTCATTAGTAAATTGGCTGCACTATGTATAGTTTGTAACTACAAGAACAGAGCTCCCTTAACTTACCAACACTATATTCGAAATTATTAACTACTTCCTTTGTAACAACGTGGACTTCAAAATAGCTCAATGGGTCCCTCCAGACTGATAAAATATTAAATTCCTATATTACAGAGAAGGTCAATTTACATGCATGTTTTAGTGATTGCTATAATATTGCAAAAATACAAAAATGAAAATTTATTTGCAATTCTACATAATTTAACATAAATATTTAGATAAGCATTATATAGAAACGGACTAACAATTTTGTAAAATAATTATAAATTTGTGTTACATCAAATTTATTAAGTATAAAATAACATAAGATGAATACATAGGTTTGAAAAATTTATTCAAAGAAGAAAGTATAAGGTGAACGAAAATGTACAATTATTTTCAACATCAACTATGTAACATTTAGTGGAGAAGCATACGAGTTGCATTTTTAATTATTATCCAATTATTTATAAACACTATACAAAAATCCTAAACGCTTTAAAACTAGAAATGATATATTAATCTGATATTAAACTATTATATATGATCAAGTAAATTAATATATAAATAAATCTAAATAATATTTAATATTTGTTTATTCATACTTGTTCACATTAGTAGTATAAAAGTTAACAAATTTAGGTAACTTTAAAAGAAAGGATTGTGATCATATTCAAAGAGCATAAATATATGAAATATGTAGAAAATAAATTACATAATGTATATAAATATAATATGATACTTTTACCACACAATTCTTATGAGAACAGAATGTGAAACTAACAAAAATAACTCTATTTTATAACAAAAAGGTTAAATAATATAATGAGGAAAAGAAAAAAGTCTAAACTTTGCTCAAAGGAGTATGAAATATTAATATATAAACTATACAAAATTACCAATATTTTGGTGCTAGCATTTATATAGGCCAATTATAAATCAATTACCATTAATAATCATCTTATATTATACTTTGAACTTTAAATAATTAAGAATATACAAAATTTGCAGTAAAATATCTTGTGTATAAAAAATAGTTAAGTTCCACGCGACTAATTATAAGCATCATAATATAATATAATTGTGAATTTACAAAATTTACAGTACATTGCATTTACTCCAAAAGTAAATCATATATAATTAATTTATATTGGAGCTAAATAGTGGTAAATATTAAACTTATTACACCATCCAATACTCTTAATTAAAATTGTTATATACATAATTACGATTTAAAAAAATTATCTTTTTATTTCTTTAATTTTTTAAAACACATAATAATTATGTTATTTGATATTGTTTTTATACATAATAATAGTTTACTTTTGTAGTGATAAAATAGTGACATCATGAGCATAGCGTTGAAAATTTGAACATGAAGATCACGTTAAGTATTTAATATTCATTAGAATATTATAATTGCATTAATCATTATTATTTTGGTTAAAAAAATAAGAATGTCATATTAATTATATGACAGATATATCAAATAAAGTAATATAATTATCTGTTGACATAAAACAAAATGTATGAATCTTTCAATACTAATTTAAAATAATATTAATCAGTGAATACGATTTTTCTGATATACCCATATATTTAAATAACACGAAGTAATATTTATAGAGAAGTTCGATATAAATTATTGGTAAATGTACATTTTGAGATTATGTGATAATAAGTATATTTATTGTTCCATAACATAAAGCATTTTTAATGGTTTTAAATTGTATAAGTAGTTATAAGACAATATATTCTTTGGGAAGGTTATGTTGAAGCTGACAAAAACACCTGTATAGCTTCATTTCTAGCTCTTCTTAGATTCAAAATTGCGATACATCATTTGCAACCACATTATCTAGATATATTGTTTATAACTACCGCGTAGCTCGTGCGATGCACGTGTAAACAATATGACTTTCATAGCATGTAAAATTGTATTATCACACGTTCATAATAAATTCTGCATCTTAAGTTCATATTTTATGTCTTTTAGTGGAATAAAATCCTTCATTTAGGGATCATATGTATTTAATATGTCCAAATTTATTTACATATCAGCAATTTAAATTTTGAATTTGAAGATAACCTGAATCTATGATTGCAAATTATCGTTTAATAATTAAATCAGTCGCAACTTTAGGATTTGGTATTTTGAAATTTAGAAAAAAATAAAATCATTAATTTAGGGGAGATATGTGATAAATATATCTAAATCTTGTATACATCACGTTTTACAATTAAAACAATTTAAATATGGAGATTAAGATATTTTGAATCTCGGATTTAAACAAAAACCATAAAAAATTGATTTGGAATTGTAGAATTTAAAAAAAAAAAATCATTAATTTAGAGGATGATATGTGATAAATCTATCTAAATCTTGTATACATCACGTTTTACAATTAAAGCAATTTAAATATGGAGGTTATTCTTATTTCGAATCTCTGATTTAAACAAAGACCATAAATATTTTGATCGTTTCAAAATTAGACCCGTGTATTTTTCATTATAAATAATTGTCAAACAAAACAATTGAATCAGCCACAACTTTATTCTTTTAATTGAAACTGCCCAATTTAATGGTTAGAAAAATGTTTTCAAAAGAAATAAAGAAATGATTTTTTTACCCTTAAATTAGCCGTAATTTTTTTTAAATAAAATCTGCTAATCAAAACATATGTATTAGTCTCTATCGTTTCGGGAAAAAAACATGTGTATTAGCCGATTTTTTAGAAAAAAAAAATTGATTTTGAAAATACAAAAGTATATTTTTGTAGTTATAAAAAATAACACATATTTTTTTATTATTATATCAATCGTAATTTTTTTATTAAAAAAAAGCTGTCAAGCAAAACAATTGTATTAGCCGAATATCTGGTTCCAAATTTGGAGAATATAATTGGCGAATATTTAATTGAATTAGCAGTCGTGACGTACATTATTATTCATATTTAAAAATAGCTTCTTGTAACCAATAACGAAAATTAATTGATGCAGCCCGTGCATTATCAGCTTTTGATATGCACATTGTGTCAAACCATCGCAAATATTCAGTAGATCAAATTTAAATAGCAGCCCGCTTTATTGAAAATAAAAAAATAACAAATTCCTCATTTTAAGGATAACATTTAATGCTATCCGTTTTTTATTAGTAAAAATATTAAAAAGATACTATAAATGACATGTAATTAATGTTGATCAGTTTTGACTAAAGATTGACTTGCTATTTTTGATAAATGGTAATTCTTATTATATATATATAGATTGATTGAAATGAAGGAAATAAATAGTATGTCAGAATAAGTGAGTTGATAAGTTTCTACATAATACATAATTTAGATGATGGGCTATGAAATACATAAGATTAAAATCGATAACCGTGATATAATCAACAACCTTTAAAAATGTGTGCAGGAACCTTCTAAAGTAGAAGAAGAAAATCTATCATCCAGTCATCTATACTTATATTAAAGGGGGTACTATTTACCAAATTAAGTAGTCAGAAAAGTCAACAGCATTTATTGCATTACTATTTTCGTATTATATTATATAAAAGGATATTCTATTTACTACATTTATTATCCAGAAAAGTCAACTGCATTAAATGTCATTACTATTTTGGTATTATAATATTTTATTTATTTAATTGATTTATTTATTTGTTTTATTTTAAAAAGGTAAGTATAATAAAAAGAATTTAATAAAACAAAATTAAATACCAAATAATAATGTACACTTTGACTTATTTGATTATATTTGGTATTTGATTATACCAAATATATTCCTATTTAGTATATACATTAAATACTTACTAAAGTATTTATTTGTTTTATTTGTCAAAGTTAAGTATAGATTTGTTTATATTATCAAATCATAAAAAATATTAAATCCATATTGTAAAAAAAAAATTCATATAATTTTATAACAGTTCTACTACACTATTTAACAATATTCCTTTTTTATTATATAATAAAATAATAATTAAATATTATATGGTGAACAACAATAAGTAAAACTGTTACTTTCTCTTATATCAAGGGATAAATTTATATGCTAAAATTAAATTTTTATTAGTATAAATGTTTTAGTGAGATAATATATTAATTATTTTACAAGCTAGCCCTAACATGCTCATATTTAATGTTTTAAAAGATGTAGAAAAAAAACTTATAATAACTCTATTGTTTTTTAGACTTAAACGTTGATTAAAAGAGGTAAAAATTCCTAATTTTTTAGACTTAAACGTTGATTAACACCATAGATTGAGAGTTTATATTTAGTAAAATTCCTAATTGTAATAAAAAAATTAATTTTTGCTATATTTTAGAATATCTTTAAATTCATTATAAAAAAAAAAAAAGAAAAAAAACTACAATGAAAAAAACAAGTCAGCTATATATCGATTTGTTGTACTCCTCAAATCACATTCACAATTTGGCTACAAGGAAATGAAACTCATTGATTAAAATATTATTTTGTCAGTAGTCTTAATGTACAAAAGACTTTAAGACTCCACTTGAATATTATAAAATTTTTATTGAACATCGTACAATTTCTTGCGTATTATAAACTTTTATTGAATATTGCATCTTATAATATAATATTCTCCAAATAAATATATCTCGCGGGTCACGTGCTATATATATTCCGTACATTTTTCTTTATTCATGTATATAATTATAAGTCTGGATAAATAGCCTTAAAATTGTGCACCCCGTGCATCGCACGGGCTCTGTACTAGTTAACATAAAGAGAGAACTGTCGCATCTATAGTGTAATTAAATTTTTTATTTAACTATTTTATCTCCTTTCATCCGAAAGTCACTGTTTTCCATCAATTTTACATTGGTATCCTAATATGTCATCTCACCAACTCATGATGTTATTAATTAATAAATTAATTAATATTCTTTATTACAAAATTAATCAACAAAAAAATTAATCACCATGTGCATAACACGTGCACTTTACTACTAAACCAAAATAACTAGATTTCATTCTTTGGTATAAAGTGGCAATTTTTTTTTTTTTATTATTTTGTGGTATTACCTAAAAAAAAACCAAACGAGAAACGACATCTTTGGCGAAAAAAGACCCCCCAAAAAAATTAAAAGAGTAATTCAATAATTTCACATATTGACACATATCAATCTCGAATTGTCTCAAAATGGTCCGCGAATAAATTTCTAGTAACTATTGAAATGATATTTAACAAAATAAAAGACGTGGTGCTTACATACGAAAATGGGAAGAAAATAATTGAAGTAAACGATTGGGCGGCCAATAATATTATCAATTCTGCATATATTAAACCTCAGGTGGAGGAGTTTGATCTCAAAACCATATCATTCTTCAAGCCAGTCGTCATAGTTGTTGCTCTTAGGAAGACCATAATCGCGAAGCTGGAGAGAGATGACAATAAATAAACGTAAGAATCAGAATAAAGAGTTGTGGCTCGCGCTCGCAGTATTATAATATCACATATACTGAAAGTCTACAACAAGTGAACCTGAGTACTTCATTTCCGAGAAGAAAAAAAAAACTGAGTACTTAAATAATAAATATCCCATTATCTAGCGAAAATAATTTTTATATATGCACGTTATTTAAACATCTGCTATATTATTTAAAAAATTTAGTATACCGGCCACTTTAGGTACAAATACTTGAGAGCAAGTAGCCCCTAGATATTTATTTAATTAATGGATGAATTTAGGTGCGAGTGTATCAATGGTGACCTCCAAGTTTTACTCTTTAATTAACTACAAAACTCATCAGCCCTTTGAAAATGTGATATATCTAATCTACTAATAATTCAAAGCCTTGAAAATCGAACCTCACATCCTAATATCAAACGCCTCTGAAGAAAAACAAATTAATTAGAAACAAAACATATACGTACCTGCCCGTGAAATTGTCCAGTTGTAATCACCATTAGCCGCCCAAAAGAAGTAGCCGCCCAGCCCCATCCCCCGCGCGTAGCCCACTTTCACACGCACAGACCTCACATCATCATACCCAACCCAATCACTCCCCGCCACCGAATAAACCGACACCGTCTCCCGATCATACACAACCCTCGCCCTTCGCTCCCTATTAAACACCACTATCTCCGCATACCTCAGCACTCCTTCGCCCGGCCCCACCCCCACCGCCGGCGCCCCTACCCCACTAGCCACCGCCGCGTCCCTCAACCTCCACGTCCTCCCGTACAACGGCATCCCCATCACCACCTTGCCCCTCGGCACACCCGCCCTCACCCACGACCCCAGCCCTCGGCTCGTGCTCACGTTGCTCCGCGGATCGAACAGCGCCGCGTGCGCCCCCGTGGTGCTCGTGTCCCACCCGCCCCTATAGTCGTAGCACATCACGTTCACAAAGTCCAGATTCCGAGCCACCGACCTCGCCGGGTACACGCGCGGCGCCCCCGACAGAAACCCGTCCGCAGCGTAGTACACGGCCGCCGTCAGGAGGAGCGGCGCGGGGCCCGTCCGCGCGGCCTCAGCGCGGACGGCCGCGCGCCACTCGTCGAGCAGTGTCGACAAGTTTTCCATGTCGGCGGAGTTCTGAGGGAACTCCCAGTCGAGGTCGATCCCGTGAAAACCGAGCGCTCGTGCGGTTCGTATGCTGGAGCGGATGAAGGCGGCACGGGAGGAGGGCGACGAGGCCATACGGGAGAAGAGGGAGGGGCCCTCGGCTGCGCCGCCGACGGAGAATAGGGTCTTGACGTTGCGGGAGCGGAGGTGGGAGGTGAAGTTGGTGATGAAGAGGGCGTCGGCTTGGGGGATGTTGTCGAACTCGAAGGTGAGGGGGTTTGGGGTGAGGAAGGCGTAGAAGATGTGGGTGAAGAGGGTGGTGTCGATGGAGGAAGGAGGGAGGCTCCAGCGGGCCCATGACGGGTAGTAGATGCCTTTGATTATCGGAGGGGATCTGTTGTGGCGGGTGGTGGTGGCGTGGGAAGGAGACGGGGACGTGAGGGTTAGCAAGAGAATTATTAATGCTGTCGTGCGAATTAGGGCGTTTGTGGTGGTGGTGGCCGCCATTGTTTAACTTTTCAACTTGTGTTGCTTTTAGTGTTGTGTGGGGGGAAGAGCGGATGGACGAGATATATAGACATAAACGTAGTTGACTTGAGGATGGGGACCACTCTATAGTGTGTTTATGGCACGTTGAAAGAGTCAATTCGTTGACTTTGCCGACGGAAGATATATGGAACCAACCAACCGCATTTGAATGCAAAACATTGAATTTGTCAATAAGATAGTTGTGTCATGCTGTAATAATACAAGAATATTAATTAATTTAATCCAATCCAAAAATTTTCACATTGGAAAGAGTTGAGCTGATTGCAGTGTTATTCGGTCATTTTTGGGTTACCACTTTATCTTATGTATTTTTTTACTTAGTTTGATATCTGTTGTGTACGTGCAGTCAGAACCCAATTTAGTGTATAATCAAATTGAAGAATTTGTGCGGTACATTGTTATATTCCAACTAAAAATTCTATGGTAATACATTCTAATAGAAATTGCAACAGATATTTCAATGGTATAACTTCCGTTGAAATGGTTTCAACAGAATGTGTTTTTCATCAGAATTTTAGATGGAATTTGTTAATTCCGACAGCTATATTTTCAACGGCTTTTTACCGCAGGAATTTCCGTTGGAATTTTTATATCCACCACCATTGAAAAATCTACCGTTGGAATCGTCAAAATTTAAAGAAAATTCCAATGAAAAACTCATTCCAACGGAATATTTTTGTTGAATTTCCATTGAAATCCATTGGAAAATTCCAACGGCAATAATAACATTTAAAAATATCTATTGAAATTACCGTTGAAATTTTATTTGAATATATTTACGTTGGAATTTTATTATTTTCTTGTAGTGGTATAAACCTCAAAATTTGTCAATAGTGCGTGCAATAAATGGATGTAGAAACTAATTGAGAGAATAGAATCGAACCAATTGCGAAAACTATTTGAAGTAAGCAAAAGTATCCGATTACTTGAGGCTAATAAGTTAGCTCCCGTATGGTGGAATATGCAATTTCCCGTATGCCGGTAGCCGGTATTATCGGCCAGTACAGTACATTATTTTAATCATTGGTTACAGTAGTAACAATAATTTAAATATAGAATATACTTTCAGAAACGCAATGTACTTTAAATAATTATAGTTGTAATAGTAACTAATTTTTGGACTAACTCCCTATATTACAAATAAATATAGATGGTTTCAATTTAAAGACTTAAAATTGTAGCATATGCTAAATTATATAATTTTTATTTCAATTACCGTCTTTCCAAGCCCCAGACACTAGAATAATGTTCTTGCGGAGCTAGTTTGAGAAAAATGCTTGAATTAAATTAAATGAGCTAAATTCAATGCCCCACGTTGCTTTAAATAAATAAAGGATTCGTACTTATAACTATAAGTTTCTGATTCCGTATTATTAATATTATTAACAAAGGATTAGTATGGGGGAAATTTCTCAAAGTTGAAGTAACAAATCACTTTATGGCCTCATAAAAATACTCGTTTAGAGAGATGCTTAATGAATAGTACACTAAAAGTCGGCCTAGTCGAATTATATAATGCTTACAATTTTGTCTTAGCGCACTAAGAAAATAAAAAAAGGGCGTTACTATTCACCGCCCCCCCTTTTACTACTCACCGCCTCTCTTGGACAATTTTGCCCTTCTCATTTTTTTTAAACATATCAGACAATTTATGAAAAAATACGTGTCCGGCCGCCGGTTCCGGACAGCTTAAAGCCCGTCCGGAACCGGCGTCCGGACGGCTTAAAGACCGTCCGGAACCGGCGTCCGGACGGTTCAAAGACCGTCCGGAAAGCATGGCCGGTCGGACCGGCCGTGTCCGGACAGGCCGGCCGGACGGCAAGAAAGCCGTCCGGAACCGACGGCCGGTCGGAACCGGTCCGTCCGGTTCGGCCGGCCGGCCGGCAATTTTTTTTAAATAATTTTCTAACTAATTAATTGTATAGTTCCTCTAAATTACAAAATAATTATACCGTAGTTGAGGAGCAGACCGATAATACTTTTCTAACAGTACTGATAATTTGTTATGATTAAGTGAAAATAATTTATGTTAAACAACAATAAATACGTAAATTCCCGAACTAGATAATATCATGTTATGAGTTACAAATTATTATGTTACATGCTAGAATTAATGAAAATTTTAAACTAATTTATTATGTAACATTACTACTAATTGATATAACAATAATAAAATTAATTATAATAATTTTCTAACTAATTAATTGTATGGTTCCTCTAAATTACAAAATAATTATACCGTAGTTGAGGAGCAGACCGATAATACTTTTCTAACAGTACCGATAATTTGTTATGATTAAATGAAAATAATTTATATTAAACAACAATAAGTACGTAAATTATTTACCTGATGAGGATGCAGATGGGCCAAAACGCCCTCCAGCCTGTCGTTGAGGAGCAGCCTGTGTAGGACGAACAGCCTGTACCGGACGAACATGCTGTGGAACCGGCTGTACCGGACAAACAGGCTGTACAGAAGGACGAGGGTGGCTAGGACCCGTAGGCTGTGCGTGGTCCTGATCATCTGAGGAGTCGTCCGAGTCATACTCCTCTGGACCCTGCTCCCTCTCGCCGTACGACTCATCAGCATACCCCTGCTGACCATAGGGTAATGGTACGCGTGCGCGAGGAGGTATCGACTTCCTTGCATGGCGGGAAAAAGCATATCCCGACTAATCGTACGGTCCTGGTGTCGGGGGCATCGAACTGCCTGCCTGGCCAGGATAATAAAATCCATGCTCGCCGTACGGGAGGACTCCGTGGGGTCGCGAACTATCTGGCTGGCCCTCAAAATGATATCCCTGCGGACCATCTCGTGCTGGTGCGGGGGGTCTCGAATTCTGCCTAGCCTGAAGAGTCTGTACCCTCCGAGCCTCATCGATCAACGTCTGTCTGTCCCGACGAACGGACGCATTGACACCCCGACTTCTAGTGTGTCGGGTGCCAGAACCATCATAATAGTCATTGTACGCCTCGTCGTCGTCCCTGACATTAGATTCTCCAGGTCTGCCAACACCCTGATGCAGAAATATAATTATTAAATTTTTCCATATGTAATGACTATTCTAATAACTATTAAAATAAATTATAATTCATTGGCGGCTTCCCAATCCTCGCATCTTTCGTTCCACTTTTTAATATATAAATTTTATTAATTATTATTATAATTATAATTGTTGAGATTTATAATAGTTATTATATTTTTTTTTAAATTATTATAATTAATACTAATTTATTATTATTATTATATTTAATTATAATTATCATTACAAATTATAATTATTATTTCTTATAATATTATTACTATAAGCATTTATAACTTATAATTATTAATATTATTTATGTTTTTACAATTTATAATTAATTACAATTTATTCAACTTATTATTATTATAATATATAATTATTATTATAATTTATATTTGTTATTATAATTATTATTATTATTATTATTATTTTAATCAGAATTATTTATAATTATTATTATTATTATAATTATCATAATAAAAAAATTTTAAAACTGTCAGGCCGGCTCATCACCGGCCGGCGGTTCCGGACGGTTTTTCGGCCTTCCGGAACCGGACAATTTCTCGGATGTCCGGAACCGACGACCGGACGGTTTTTCGGCCGTCCGCAACCGATGACTGGACAGACGGCGGTCGTCCGGAAACGACGGCCGGACAGCTTCAAAATTTTTTTTTTTTAAATTATTTTCGGCGGAAAAAAAAAAAATTATCTTGTTGGAGAAGAATCCTTTGCCGAGGCCGTAGAATTTTTTCGACATTTTTTCGGATTTTTTTTTATGCTCGAATCGTTCGTTGAAGTTCGGAAAATTTAGAGAGATAAAGTTTAGAGAGATGAAATCCAAAAAAGGGTTAAGGGCAAAAGAGTAAATGGGGGGGGGGGCGGTGACTAGTAAAAGGGGGGCGGTGAATAGCGATTGAGTAAAATAAATCAACATATAGGAGTTCGCGGAGCTCCTTGACAGACACGGCAGTGTGGGCGTGCCACGCCTAATTCCCTTCTTGTTATTAATTATTATCACAAGGATTAATTGTTTCATCTGATATGAACTACATAATTTTTTGGAGAAAAATTGATTGAACTGAACCAAACCCAACTGAAACTAATCAATATTGCACATATTATAATCAAAATTTTCGACAACCAAAACCTAATTGAATTAAGCCGAATGAAAAAAAAAATAAAAAATGCTAGAATTATATAATTATACTAAATACAATATATGAGAAATTATATTTTTCTTTCCCTTCCCGTATCAAAAATTAAAACTAAATCCAACTCTTCTCTATCTCTCTTACGATCCAAGTCTCGGCTTCTTCCCGGTGTGTATCAGGCTCTTTACTTGGATTGTTAGATAATTTACAATCGACTTATCTGCTCGACTAGGTTGATTTCTAGTTTTTAGAGTTTTGAAATTTATGTAAAACTTTGGAATCTTTTTTCCTAAATTGTTGATTCAATTATAATGTTTTATGTTGTTTTTTTAATTACTATTTTCGTTTCTGTATATGGGGTGTTGTATATGATATATTGGTTTTTTATTTTATTTTTTTGTCATTTTGTTTGTGTCTGAAAGAGCTAAAAAAAAAGTTACACGTTACAAGAATTTTGGTCATTCTTGATTACTTCTCGAAACAATAAGATGCAAATTGACTTCGAAAGATTGTTGTCTTTTGGAATGATTTACCCTGTTCCTTGTATTTCATTGGATGTCACAGATGTATGCTGACATAGAGATCAAATGTATGAGCAGTGAGTTAGAGACGAGGAGATCAAATGTATGCTCTGCAGTTGCATATCAGAGATGATATAACCTCCGTATTAGAAATCCAAGTGTTACAAATCATTACTTTCTTAAAACAATTCCCATGCATAAACTCTAAAGTTTCTCCATTTTATCATAACCATTTTATAACAGTTTCTTTTGGGCCAAATTTCTCAAGAAAAAAAAAATGTATTTATTCAGAGAACCAGACCAAGATTTTTAGAAGTCAAGCATTCTCTTCACACTTCAAACAGAACTCAAAGAA